TTTACTTTCATTTGACTTGAAGAGATGTTAATGCTTTGGTGATTTAATTATCACACACAGGATTTATCATGACAACACACAGCCTTTGGTTGGTTGTTGATCAGACTCTTGAGAGAAACATAACTCTGTTTGTGACACTGACCGGAGGCTTGGTGAACAAGATGCCGTCTCTCTAACCCCTGTTGCCCTTTGTACAAGCTCAATGAGTAGTGTTTGTGATATTCAGATTAAAAGCAAAAATGGTGGATTACTGGCCATGGATAGCGTCCCACACAAAAGTTTATATATTTGTGTAGCAGCCAGCCTTGGCCTCAAGTTTAATCCCTAAAGAAACAATGACAAGTAAACATGTCCTTTAGCGTGTAATGTAACTTATGCACTCAAACAGACACCAGCAGATTAGTACTCCGAGTTCACCTAACTCAACTCCACAAACCTTGTGGTTTAATATGCAGACATGGACGTGTAGCCTTTGATACACACGACACACACACAGACAGGCAGACACACAGACAGAGATTGATACAGCGAGCGGGGACTCCCTTTGGCATAAGTAACAGATCTAGAATTACCTCACTTTTACAGTCTGTGACTCACTTGCCGTCTCTCACTCACTCCCTGGCGCATGCTCACACTCACATACTCAGACTCCACTCCTACATCAGTTCAGCCGGACCAGCTGCCATTCTTGTGAGGAAGAGCTGAGCTATATTCACTTAACATGTGCTGCAGATATTTTGTCAACACAGTAATCAATCAATCATTCTTTATTTACACAGAACAAATGTTATCTTATTGATGTAAAGCACATTGTAACTTTGGCTCAGAAAGGTGCTAAACACATTTTACTATCATATCTTGAGGCACCTTTAAGAAAAGAGCAGATCTACCCTGTAAACAGGGTAGAGTCTTACTCTGTAAATGTTTACCTTATTTACAGAGGCCCAACATTAATCCACCATGAGCAAAGCACTTGGACACATTTAGCAAGTAACAGTGGCAAGACTCGTGTTGAACAGACATCTGCTGCGACTGTTGGGCTTGCAGAGAGAGAGATGGAACGAGACAAACGGAAACGGCAACAATAGAGCAGATCTATGGCTACAATGCCAGTAATAACAGTAGAAGTATGAGTGGTATTAGCAGTAACAACAGGATATGATAATCGACCGAACAGGCCAATATTAACATTGTTTTTTTTATTTATACTTTATTGATCCTCATCACAACACACTAAGTGTTGCAGGTAGTCATGTGACCGGGAGAGCAGACATACAGGCAGCCTAGACATGAAATTAAGATAAAAGTACGGTAAACCACGCTCTTTGTAGAGTGGAGGGGGGTTGAGGAGATGAGCTCCATGATATAAAAAAGTGCCTTTAGTTCTCCAAACATGATTTGATGCGAAGAAAAGAGTTTCAGTAACTGTACGACACCAATTCAGATTCAAATATGACTGCAAGAACAAACTTTTGTCCTACCAGGATGTTTCAGGAGAGATAGCCCTTTTGGACAGTACCATTAAACCTGGAGTATGGGGCGCGCTGGTGGCACAATGGTTAGGGCGCGCGTCCCATGTGTTGAGACTCCCGTCTCGAGCGGTAGGCCCGGGTTCGCTTCCACCCGTGGCCCCTTTCCGCATGTCATTCCCCGCTCTCTCTCCCTGGTTTCCGGCTCTATCCACTGTCCTTTCTCTGCATTAAAAGGCAAGAAAAGCCCAAAAAATAAATCTTAAATAAAAAAAATAAAAAACCTGGAGTATAAGCCTGTTTTGGGGAAAGGTTTAAAGTGTCTACCTGCGTAACCTTTTCCTATTATGTTCCGAATAGTCAACAACCTGCAGTTTATAAATGAAGCTAACAAACGAGAAATGGAAGCGACTCACAATGCACATTTGAAGAATGCCAGCCATGAAACCAAAACTGTGAAGCTCTGAGCCAAAAGATCCAACTGTTAAACTTAAATATTAAAAGAAAACTGGCTATTTTTATCTTGCATTTTACTAAGTACGGAGGATTTCGTGAGGGTGACTCGTTCCTCTCCATGACAAAAATCCCTGTCATCTTGGCATCTGTCAACATCAGTCCACATATGAAAACCACCCTGCTGGCTACATGACCAAACGACTTACTAAGCCTCTCTAAAAGCCTCGGAAAACCCTCGGGTCAAAACGAGTTCAGCGCTGTTGCTGCATTAGAGACAGACAGCATTGTACATGGGGGGGGGTCATCAGAAAAACACAAGAGGTCATTACTTGCTCAAGGTTTGCATTGGTGCATTTATGGCCGTTCTTGATTGATGAGCTCTCAAGATAGGCTTATGAGGAAGTTTGCAGATTGACGGTTAGACAACCCTGATTCACCTGTTAGATCTGTTGCACCTGTTAGAACCTGTGTTAACTTGACTCATAAGTTTACATACAAAATAGGGCTGCTTGATTATGGATCCTAATCACGATCACTTTGACTGATATTGAGATCACGATTATTACTCACTGATTTTACAACATCTGCATGGGGCGGCAGTAGCTCAGTCTGTAGGGACTTGGGTTGGAAACCGGAGGGTCACCGGTGCAGACCGTGCAGACCAAATATGGAAGTTGGTCTGGTAGATGGAGAGGTGCCAGATCACCTCCTGAGCACTGCCGAGATGCCCTTGAGCAAGGCACCAAACCCCCTCCCCACCACCAGCTCAGGACGCTGTGGGCCACTCCGTCACTCTCGCTTCTCTCCATTAGTGCATGTCCATAGGATCCTGTTTCTGCATGTGTGTGTTCATGACTTACAGAGTGTACAAGCTGAAATTTCCCCTTGCGGGGATCAATAAAAGTAAAGCTTAATCACATACATTTATCAAACACTTTAACATTCTCAACACTTTGAAAAACAAGCAGTCAGTAAAAAAATAAGTGAGAATAATTAAATAAAAATAAACAAACTGTTTATTTCAGGCGGGTCCACCCAATCCACTTCCTCGTGACTCCAGCACAGCACAAAACTCTTGACATTTCTCGAAATTGTCGAGGTGAGCTGCAGATGTGAACATAGACAGCCAAATTTCTCACCCCAATTTTGGACTTTTTTCTGCCAGCCTCTTCGTCAAATGCCTAGTGAAGTTGGGGTGAGCCGAGCCAGGAAATATTCAGGAAAATTAACAGCGGATGAGGGCAATAACGCTTATATGACTTACGCAGCGTGATCTTCCTGCATGTAAAAAGCAACTTCATACTCTTTCCTGCTCACCAGTACATTCTTTTCCTCTCTTTTGTTGCTACTGTGATGAAGATCGAGTACATGAAGCAATGATATAAAGACAAAAGCAAGCACTGTAAGCACTTGTTGTAGTCAGAAGACTAGAAAAAAGGCAGTACGCTCAAGTTCATTTACTTGAGCGTACTGCCTACTAAAACCGTCTCTATTTATGCCATGTGGGAAACCCTGTCTGCTTGCCTCTGACAAACTGCTTTGTTGTAAGCACAGCACTGGTGTTGGAGTATTATGCTCAAAGTAAAGCTAACCCACATCATGTGTGTATTTTGCACTGATGAAATGCAAACTTAGTAAGGAAACCCCCCATCCTGATCATTCCCTTATGCCACAATAATAAGTTACATAACCTACCACATGTCTCTTAGTTACCAGCATAACCCAAACAGCATTGACACCTTCAACAGACTCAATTCATGCAAGTTAGCCAAGTATACGGACATCATTAATAAGAATATATGTGTTAAAAAATATGCATACTCACCCGCTTAGTTTAAAGGAAAGTCCTTAACTTGAGAATAATAAAATAATTGAAATTCTATATTCCTGAAGAATTGTCTCCTATCACCAGAGGGAGCAGACCAATGGCAAGAGATTTCAAATTGCCTAACTTATAGCCCTAATTTGTGTCTTACAGTATATACATTTAAAGTTACAGACATCTTAAGCACTGGAATTGATCATGATGCTCCTGCCACTCATTTGAATTGGCTCGAAGTTTGTTATTGCATGTTTTAGCACTGGTAACTATACTGTCATCTTGTTCCTTTGAGATGATTGGGTTTAGTGCTCTAACATTCACCCCAGCACACACCCATCCCCTCTCAACATGAGCAGAGACAAAATCAGCAGGGATGATAAGAAAGAAAAGTGATCATCAATAAGGCTCACTTATCCTATAGGTGACTTAATCATAAGGTCACACAGTGAAACCAACAGAGATGTGTTTCCGATAGCATAGTGTATAACACGTCGAGAGGTGTGAAAACTATGCAGCCGCTACGACAGCAATACAAACGATTTACGTGTGGTACAGGATATCAGAGCCACTCAATGAACAGCAACAAAAAAAGCTGACATTCACTTGTCCTCCCCTTAGAGACAGGTCAAACACAGTTGCACATAGTAACGATGACAGCAGCCACACTCGTTTCTTTGAGTAAACATTAGTCATCACTTCCTTTAGAGCCGTCACCAAACCCGGTTGCGCTAGTTAGGACTCCCACACAAAACAATGCCATGATGGGTTTCTGTTGACCCGAACTAACCTGCTTTGATAGGCAAACGGCCTTGGCTGACAAGGCAGACAACGGCATAGCCTGGCTAGCATCCACTGTTAAAGACACACAGGGCCTTGTCTTGCCGTAAAGCAGTAACCCGTACCATACTAGCTAGCTGAAGCGGGTACTTGTTAGCATTGCAAGTGTGTGAACAAGCCGAGACTCAGATACCGTGACATTTTACGAACATTTCGACTCGCATTGAATGGTAATCGACTGCACACAATAGACAAGCTTGCATTTTAAATCGTCAACATAGGAAACAAGCTGCCGACAACAGTAGCCAGCTTTCTGCCAAGCACAGCTAGCTAACGGGCAGCATTAGCCCCGCGCTAATGAAGGAAGCTAACGTCTGCTACAGCAGTGCTGTTGTTTTTCCAGACACACACACACACACACACTCACACTACGCTCGAAAAGCCGATGTTTCACTCGCCACGGCACACCCGCTTACCTCGGACGAAATATCCTTCAGCTCACTGCAGTTATGTGGGTGTGTGTATGGCGATGTGGTGGTATTTCCTTCGTTAGCTCGGTGTACACATTCGCACTTCTTCTGTAGCAGAGACGAGACGCCAGGCGTTAAGTACCAGCCGCTCGGGAGCGCGCACAGTTGTTGAAGTTTAGCCGCGGGAGCGCGCTCTGCACGAATCCAGAATGAATCTATAGTAGGCTATATAAAATGTGAAGAGAGTTAGACAATTATGCAATAATTGTTGCATACAGCTTATTTGTTGTTTCTATAAAGTTAGAAAATAGTTTATTCCCATGAAATGTTTGGCTACTTAATAAATATTCCTAACCTTCACTAGATTGGCAAAAAAACAGGGCTGTTTAGTTTCAATGGTCTTTTGCTTTCCCTCTTATAATTAATATGATTACTATAGGTGAATTTTCCCATGCCTCTTTGCTGTATTTGAACTAAACTTATGCAGCATTTTGGGGAAAATTAAAAAGCTTTCTAAAACAACTCTGGTTCCATTTATAGTTGTACCTTTGCATATCCTGTGACATCATGTAAAAAAAACTTATCAAAATTTGATGAGCAAAGAAAACGTTCTGAAAATTGGACATCAATACCTTGTCCCATAATGACCCATACTCGTAGAATAAGTTTGTAAACAGCATACCCCAATAAGGTGACAAGTGCAGAGCTGTTTAAAACTATCATGTGATACTCTTTTTTTTTTTTTTTTTTTTACATAAAAGCAGTGGCTCAGGATTGAGAATGAAGACATGTCATTCAGTCTTGATATAGTGAGCATAATGTAACTGGGTGAGATTAAGATTAAGAGGTCATGACACTTCTTCCATAGTAATCTGGATGTAAGGGAGTCCCCTCCACCACCACCACCAGCAGAAGGTCACAGATTGGAGGAGACACAGAGGAGAGACAGACGGGATGGTGGTGGCGGTGGTTGGGAAGGGAGGGGCCACACAGGCTGGGATTACAGAGAGGGATTGGTTATGTAAGTGCATTGTCCCGGCAGGCTAGCCGCCGCCTGAGTGCATGGGAGGGCGAGAGAGCCTCAGACAGCAAGAAAAGTGAGAGAAAGAACAGACTTTTTGTAAATGTAATCCTATTGTCCTGTCCTTAACAATGGCTTAGCCGCTGTAAGTATGCTTTTGAAATAATCACACGGAGAGGAACTGTATTTCTCGCTCCCACTCTACTTGTTACTTAAACCCCATGTAAAGCATGCCATTCACTAATCCTAAATATTTAGTGAGGCTTCAGGGAATGCAGAGTCAGTATGTCTACCACATTGGTCAAGAAATATTTCAACAACTGTCAAAAGGATTTCTATTAAATTTATGTTCACACATTCTTTGTATCCAGGGGATATGATGTAATGCCTTACTGGGTTATTCTTTGGCTTACTATTGAAGACACTATAATGTTTTATGGTAATGTATTGGCAGCTGTTGGAAGTCTACAATTTTAGTGCACAGAAGATTAGTTCTGGTCACTTTGATTCCTCCGACTTTTCCTCCAGTGCCATCATCAAGTCAAAGTTTTTATCTGTTCTGTGATGTTGCTCAACATGTACAGAATGGACCAGCCAAACAGCAGATACAGGTTTTCATTTTCCTTTAAAGCTCCTGTGAGGTTTGTTTGTGAACTGTTTGTTATTGTTGATTTTTGCGCCCCCTGTGGACAAACGTTACGTCTTAAGGCCCTGACACACCAAGGAGATTGTCGGCCGTCTGTCCTAGTTGGACGTTTTGTCAGGGCCTCTGTTTGGTGGTTTCATTTCTCTCCAGCTCTCCTCTCAGGTTCAGGAAAGCTCCTTGAACATGTCACTGTAGTATCCATGCTTTCACCCATTAGTGCGGTTTCTCCTTTTTTGTCTCCTCCGCCTCTTCTTTTCTTTTTCCACTAAAAGACCAAGGGCTGACAACGCCAGCGCCATTTTCACCTTTTTATCAGACATTATTCCCCATTAGTAAACTACATATAATACGAGTGGTTACCGACAGCGATGTGAAAATGGTCTTCTGGTGTCATAACATTGGACTACCGCCGCCTGCTGGAATTTCCTCTCACATATGAGCAGAACGTACGTGGTGGTTGGCCGTCGGCTGTAGTCTTCGGTGTGTTCTAATTCAACTTTTTGGCCAAGACAAACAACGACATGAGGCGTTACAACAGTCAGCCTTCGTCGCCACTAGTTCTTTCTCTTTGCCGTCTGCTTGGTGTGTCAGGGCCTTTAACTCGTTGGAGATTCTGTCCTGTGCATGCAAAAGTTATATTTTCTGATGATAAATCTCCTCCTTCTGTCTTGAACAGTCAACTGTATAACTCAATACTCAGTCTTAGCCTCGAAAAAATGTAAACAAAGGCTCTTTTTTCTGCAATCGCCTTACCCTAGGCTTACCCCATGGCAGCTTTTACAGGGGTTAAAAATAACTATAAAAAAGAATCAATTTAGTAATGGATGCTCTTGCATGCTTTTTTAGGCCATCAGTATTACTGTATTGGTCTGAATACAAGACCACCCTTTTTATAGGACCCCCCCCACACACACACACACACACACACCTTTCCAAGACATATTTCTTTTAGAAAAATACTTTTAAAAAGAAATCGATTTTATTTGAACAATTTGAAATAGCTGTCTTTCCTGTCTGTCAGAAACAGCCCCTGTTTTTAAAAGGTTCACTCACAATTCTGTTGAGCAATTTTCCTTAATGAGAGACTTAATGCAACACACGCCTCTGTCTGATTACCCTCTCCTGCAGAGCATGTGTCCGTATATATATTGTGTTTAAAGGGGACAGTAGGGCCTTATTCTGGATAAAATTTCAGTCTGTTTTATAACCAGCAGACAGACCAAAATTTCCATCTCACTTTGCAGATCTTCTGACTGTTCCCATACAACTAGTAGGAGATCAGTATTTTTAGTCTGAATATAATTTCTATTGTATTAAATTATTCTTGAAATCAAAACATATCAAAGGACTGCAAGAGAGAATTAGAAATGTGTAAATAGATACTATAGAATATTTCCAATCCTTGCATTTTGTCATGCTACGTAGCAACGTTTTAGGGCAGGACCTGCACCTCTTCGAGCATTCTCAAAGCAAAAGCTCTCCTCCTCTTTCTTCTTTTGTCTCTCGTTGTCTTCCTGTCTGTAGGGCCCTGAGGTGGTTCATCATGCCCAGACACTATGTCAGATTCCCAAAGGAGCTGCCCCAATACGACAGCAACACGTTAAAAAACAAAAAGTCCGGAATAATCAGCCCGCATATAATGCATAAATATTTGTTTCAAATTGTTTCCTGTTAATGGTGGAACATGCATTACATCAAGGAAGCACAATGCACATGTTTACCAGGAGAATGATGCGTACAAAGCAGGTTTTTTTACAGTGCAAAATTCTTGATGTCCGAGCAGACCGCTATAATTCTACCAGTATGCCCCATATAAAGGATGTGAGTGTTTTTGTTATTCAGCCAGATAATATTCCTACAGTGGGGAAAACAAAGAAGGAATAAAACTTCAGAGGGAGCAGCGATGAGAAAGTGGGAGAGGGGTTGGGGGAAGGACAGGGGAGGAAGTGAGAGATCCAATCACAAGGGACTGTTAAGCTCTGCTGGTATGCTGTTGGAATTTGAATGTTTGGTTGGATCTAACAGCATAGATATTATGTTACTTTTGTTCTTTTACGGGTAGAACGGGTGAGGACAAAACGCTGAGAGTAGAAAACTTGGAAGTAAACTTGGATGGAGTTTGAGGAGGAGAAGGGGAGGGGAGGCTGGGAGAGGAGTAGGAGAGAAAGGGAGGAAGGAAGTGAAGAGACAGTGGTTATGGGAGTAAGGAAGAGGGGGAAAGTAGTAGAGAGTGTGGGTGGGCCTGGGAGGACAAGTTACAGGAAGAAGAGAGTGAGGGAGAGGAAGGTGACTTGCTAAACTCGCCTGCTAAACTGCACATCAGCAAATTCCAGACATCCTGGAACTAATGCAAATTCTTAACTGTGGGTTTCTCAGACTCTTCACTGAGAGTTGTTTATAGATGAGATTCTTGTGGAAAATTCTGATGGGCCCAAACTGGATTGAACCCCTGTCCTTTAAACTTCAGCTGATGCTGGCTGAGTGTGACAGAGAGAGGTGAAAAGTAGTAAATAGCACAGAATGAGGCAGGCAGCTGGGTGGACTGGGAGGATTCATGGTGGTTTTCCTGAGCAATACTTGATAGAGTTTTCTGCTGCAGCCATAGGCGCACAACAGAAGGGTGATGAGGGTGCTGCAGAACCCCCCTTAAATGAAGTTGGCTTATTAAGGGTTAAAACATGTGTTTACCAGTTTTTGTGTGATATGTAGATGAAGTTCATTGATAAGTGTCATAGTTACTTTTGGTCCGTTTCCTATAGCAGTCTGTATGTTGTTTATGGGACAAAGATGTGTGATCATCCTGTCAGACACAAGAGCAGTTCAGTTCAGATCTTTCTTGTCCCTGGAAGGGAAATTTGATTTGCAGCAGTGGACACAAAAACACAACAGATAAACAGACAAAGGACAGTGCAACACAACCTGATGAGATACAACCAAGAAATATAAAATATAAAAACTCACTGTTCGTTAAGGAATTTCACTCAGATGGTATAAATAAATAAATATAAAGTGCAATAGCTCTGCTTGAACTATGTTTTTCTAGAATTTTGAGTTTGATTTGATCATTCTTTTAGAGAGGACATATTATACCCTTTTTCTACCTTTTCAAACAGTCCCCTGTGGTCTAAATGAAACATCTGTGCTGTGCTTTGGTCAAAATATAACATGAATCAAGCACCAGAGGAGGTTTGTGACCCTGTATAAACCAGCTCTCTCAGAATGCTCCGTTTTGGTGTGTGTGTCTTTTTAAATGTAATGACCCCCCCAAGTTTTCCCCGTAGACATCACTCCTCTGTAGCGAGAATAGAAATGGCTGACCTGAGCAAAATTGTTGTTTTAGGCTGGGGGTGGAGTCATCAGGGGAGGGGAGGTTTTTTTTTTTTTAAACCAGAATCCCACTGTGACATTACAAGGAGAGCACATTTGAAACGAAGCATTTTTCTCTGTGTTGTGAGACTTATGCAGACCACAAACAATAATACTCTAACTATGATTAAT